AGTGCCAGTATAGCATACATATCCAAGAGGCAGCACAGTAGGACAACGGAGAACACACAGTGAGGCTCATCTGTGGTTACTGAGTTTTCTTCCCTGTCACACTAAACAGCTAGAGCTGTTTAGTATTCAAAGCTCGTCATCAGTTTCAGTTCCTAAGTAAGATTAGCTATGGACTCCATAGTTGAGAATCTCATTATTTTGTTGAGGGTTGGTGAAGAACCAGGTAGCTTAGAGTCAAAAGAACTTTAGGAAGTTAATATTACTCTTTTACTAGCTACCTACACTTTCTCTTTAAGGTGGGAAAGGTAAGGGGGAAAGAAGAGAAAGTTGTTCAAAGTGATATTACGTAGTGAAGAAACTTTTGAACTTTTTGAGTTAGAAAACAGCAGGTATTATTGCTCCAATTCTCTAACATGTTTTTGTTCTATTCCTGTGACTTTCAAAAAAGCCGAAAACAACCCATGGAAGGAACTGCAGCTGAGGCCATGATGAGAACACCTAAAACAAGGACATATGCCTTATCTATCTTGGGATCAGGGACTTCCAATCATTACATTAACCAATACTTGCACTGCCAAACAGTAGTCCTGTTCCCATCCAGTATTTCTACACTTTAATTAAGTCTTAATGACAGGTCAAAATCATTACGAAAATTATGTACTACATAATTATGATTCAAGGTTACATTTGTAGATGCTCTGTTGAAAGTGGATTAACCCTAAAGAAAATAAACCCCTTCCGTGAAACCTGTGGTAACATTAGTCTTGCATTTGGTACATTGTTCATACATCTTAAGATCTGTGCTTTCAACACATCGTGATTCTTTGTCTGATGGAAAGACACCAAGAACTCTGCAGGAAGGAAGCGAGTATAGGAGGAGAACTAAGAAGAAAAAGGGGCAAGACAGTATTGAAAGAGGAGTAATACCTTCTTAACTTTAAACCAGAGGAACTAAATAGTTTTCCTCTAAGGAAGCATGGTCTAGCAAACATGTCTACACGCTCTGAAGATTCAGCTGAAAAGAGAAACTCACTACACATGATGCAAGATTTCATCCCTTGAAGTGCAAATTCAATCAGGCCCTGTCTACAAGTTAGGAAATACACTTAAGAGACATCAGTTTTAGCAAAACTGAAGTTAAAGAAAATTAGGCATGAAACTAGTTACTGTACACTGAGAACCTGTTTATTGTATACTTATCCCCACTCCTATTTTTTCAAGGGTTATTATAACCTTAGGTCTATGTTGTGGCCTGCAAGTTTCTACTGTATTGGTAACTGTTTTTTCAAAGATGTTCTCAAAGTAAGAACACTCCATGAAACTTGCCTGAACAGACAAAAGCATTTTTGTTTCTTCCAATTTTTACTCACTGAAAACTATCTCAAGCCACGTTTAATAGGCCAGTAACATAAGAATATCAGTTAAATAAATAAAGCAGCAGTTAAATAAAATTGTTCTACATACAGAGAAGATACAGGAGCTACAGGTGTGCTCGGAAGGAGCAGCTAAAAGACAAGGCGGAGTAACCTAATGGGCAACCTGTTTAGCAGCAGGTATATGAACATTATAAGTAAAAACGTGTGAAATTACTAAACCCCTTCATTCTGAGTATGTTACATCCACATTACATAAACCACATATGAACAAAATAACTTGCTGCCTTCACCCAGAAAAAAATTGAAGACCCAAGTGTCAGTAACTGAATTTGAAGTATTGCATTCAGATTGGGCACCTGCATGTGCATTTGATACCAGAAGAAAAAAAGACAAAAGAAGTACAATAAGTGAAGGGCACATCAGCATAAAGAAATAAATACAGTTGCTTACATATACTGGAAGTATGAATTTCTCTAGCTCATATGCACATTTTCCTCTAAAGCTGAAGCTATAGCAACCACAACAGCAGCAACACAAAGTACTACATGGTAAGACCAGTGCCTCCAAGATGCCCTCCTCAAAGTTTCAATCATTTGATAGGAGGTAGAAAACCCCCGACCATTAGAAAAAGGAACAGCAAGAGCCTGCATTATATTTGTCACATACCACAGTTTTACATAAGTAGCCCTTGAGCAAGAGACACAGAACTGGGGATACACAAGCATACCCAACTGTTCTGGTGAGATGTGGGTGGACAGCTTTAAGAGCACCATGAAGTAAAGCTTAGTGTCTGGCAATGATGGCAAGCCATTACATAAAAGGAACCATTTCTAACCTACACTTCCTTCCTAGCCACATTATCCCTCCTTTTACCTCCCAGCAGTTCAGTTTGGGGCAGATTCCTCTGGAATTCAAATAAATTTAATCCAATGCTAGAAAAAGGTATAAATTCAATCAGCAAATTCAGCCAAGATACCAGATAAGTAGCTTTCAGTTCAGGAGACAGTTAAATGTTTGGATGCTTTCCCCTATATATACACAAGCCTTCAAAAGTTGCATCTTTTGCAATCTGGAAGACAATAAGGAGAAGTGTAATTTTTTTGGTAGTCTAAAAAGACACTAAGTTTTCAGGAACATATACGACTACGGAATTCAGGGCAACAGTCTAATTTTAGTCAGTCATGTTCACATACACTGATATCCCACCATGAGCCATTTCAACTTGCTTATCTGGCAAGAAACTTCTGCGCTTGTTAATTCATCTGCTCAATAGAGAAGGTGACCAAAGCCAAAACTGATGCGAGCAAAAGAAAGAACAATGTGGGTAAGGGGAGAAAGAACTTTAACATCCTTTCTTGCAGTGGTGAGGAACTGTGGTGCTACATCCTGGGGAAGGAGAACTCCACACCCAAGAGGACTATTCTAGCAGCTTGCAGATGAGATCCACCTGCACTCAAACCTACCTGCATGACCGTAGCCTGGCACCAGCTCTTCTCACTTACTGAGCAGAACCACTGCTTTTAACCACTGTTAAATTTAACTAGTGTTAAATCACTGTTTAATACTACTAAATTAAGGTTCCCATCTAGCATTCCCACCTTGCATTTTAGGTTTGTTTTCACACTATTAGACAGCCAAACAAAGTACTTAATGGATCACCTAAGTACCCTCTTGGAAGGCTGCCTTTCTATTATCATTCCTTTTATGAGGCTGTAAATAGCATTCTTAGAATTAAACAAGCAATAATCCTCAGTTTTGCAACCATCCTTTCTCAAAAACAAGCAAACAAAAAAAAAGTACACCTCACCCACTTTTTGTTTTTCCCAGCAAAAGTGAGAAAGATTAACAGTATAAACTGTTCCAAACAGTCAGTCTCTCCCAAAAGTCTTCACTTGAGTGGATGGTAAGTACAGATCAGGCACACCCACATTTAAGGAACCACCAAAACTCACACTAATTAAGAACACTAGTAGATCATTAATTTGCAGAATAAAAACCTTTCTCAACAGGAGCCAAAGGCTTGAAAATGCTCACTACTTTTAAAACGATTTCTAGGTCTACAGGACATAAGGCCACCCAAAATCAATCCTAAGAGACATGTACTCTTTTACACTTTTCAAAACACACTAATGAAAATAAAATTAGTTATGAAAAATAAGCTAACAAGCTTTTTTTAGGAGTTACTTCTAGAAAAGTTGTACAGTTTAAGCAAGGCTAGAAGACCTTTTTTTTTGTTTTACAATTTAAGATTTTAAGTCTACAAAATACCTTGGAGCTTCTGTCCCAGCTACATCTTCACTAAGTGGTGGTGAATACATCTGCTTTGGAAGATACTATCTGCTATGGCCAAAAGCCCTCTATTGCTTAATTTTACACACTTTGAAGGTTTTTGTTTTCCCAAAATTCATACTTTGTCCTCCAATACCAGCAAATTTAAGAAAAAATAAAAGTTCTTCCAGAGCCTCCTAGAACATTATTTCAGAAGTACAGCAGCATTAGAGGAGATAATAAAAGCATCCTTGCAAACCCAAGACAAAGGCATCACCACATTTCACTAGGCTAAACGCCTTCCTCTATCAGTCAAGGAAGCATCCCACATACTACCCTGTCCTCAGGCAGTTGTTCCCCCCCCCCCCCCCCCCCGAAGCTGCCCACTTTCATACTGGGAGGAAACTACCTCAAACACTGAAGATACTGGCAAATTCCAGGAAAATCCCCTGCATTGACACCGGGAGCAGAAGGGGGGGACAGCAGACCGCCATTTTCCAGTCGGTGATAAAAAACAAGTCTCAGACCATCACAGCGAGAAACTCTCTTCTGATGAAGCTTAATACAGCCCAGTTCACTTTGAAGAAGCCACAGCCACTTTTAGATCCGTGAAAAAATCTTAAGGCTCATCAGAAACACAACTCGCAAGCAAAGCGCTTTAAATATAGAGCACATAAAGCCAAGTTCCCATTTTTAACATCAGTGAAGTTCCCGTTTGCACCACAGAGGCAGCTAAAGTGTTGTTACTCAAGGGCAAGAGATGAAGCTGGCATACACAAGTGTATCTGTTAACTTTCCGACTACCTCCAACTAATTAAAAAAGGATCCTGTCCTTGATACAATCATTTTCCTTTGTATCTAGTAGGGGTTTCTGTCTTCAATGGGTTACACGCCACAAATATTCCATGAAGTGATTTAACTTTGCATTAGAGACATCAAGGGGCTTGGGGAGGAATCCAGACTTCTTCTCATCTCACCTCCACGGACCCGCCACCCCCGCTAAGCCCCCCACAAGCTCCCACAAAACAGCGGCGCCCGCAGTCCGATGCCCCACCGCACATCGCGTTAGCGGCTCCCCACCGCCCACCAGCGGCCCGAGGCTTCCACGACCACCTCTCCTGTCACCGCCTCCCGCAACCTCCCGGCTCACCTCTTCCTCCCGGGACGCCGCCGCCTTACCGTACCCATCCCGAAACCACCCGCGTTCCCCGTGCAACGCGGGGAGGGAGGACGAAGCGCCGCTACTGGTCCCCGCCACCTGCCTGCCCCTCGGGGCCGGGGGCAGTGCAGGCGGGGGCCCTCTGGCGCCGGCCAGGGGCGGGAGCGCGGCCACGCACCTCCCGCGCACTCGCTCACCTCGTCGTCGTGGTGCTGGCAGTAGCTGGCCCGGTCGGGGAACACCGAGAGGATGTTGTAGGGCGAGGCAGGGTAGGGTGGGCTCAGGGCGATCGGCGCGGCGGGGCCGGCGGCGAACCGTTCGATGAAGTGGTCTTTGGTGAGGCGGACGCGCTGGTGCGCTCGCACGCAGTTATCGCACAGGTGCTCCTGGCAGTCGAGGCAGCGGGAGCTGGCAGCGTTGCCCTCGTCACAGGAGCTGCAGCGGGGCTCGCCTTGCCGGCTGTGGGGCCGCCGCAGCAGGAGCGCCGCCGGGCCGCCGCCGCCGCCCGAGGACGACGACGATGTCGAGGAAGGCGCGGCCGAGGCAGCGGCGGGCGAGGAGGCGGCGGCGCGGGGAGGCGGCGGAGGGCGGCCGTGGTGGCGGTTGTTGCCTCCGCTTCCCCCTCCCGCGCCGGAGCCTGCGGTGTGTCCGGCCCCGGCGGCGCGGCCGTTCTTCTGCTCGTCGACAGCGGCGGCCACGACGACGACGTCCAGCAGGTTGCTCAGGAGGAAGTTGGAGGAGGGCAGCGCGTCCATACCCGAGGGCTCCGAGATCACCACCTTCTGGTCGCAGATGGGGCAGCGCAGCTTGAGCGCGTCGCCCGCGCCGGGGTGCCGCTGCGCCTCCAAGCACTGGCGGCAGAAGGCGTGCAGACAGGGCAGGACGTGGAGCCTCCGCGGCGGGCCCCCGCAGGAGGAGCCGCTGCCGCCGCCCCCGGAGGAGCCGGAGGTCTGCGAGGAGGACGAGGAGGTAGAGGAGTTGGAGGAGAGGGGAGCCGGCGAGCCGCACATCTCCTTGCACAGGGGGCAGATCTGGAAGTCGGACTCGGGAAATGAAGCCATTTGCGATGGGCCTGACTCCTCGATGGGGGGTGAAAATGTTATCTCCCCTCCCTCACCAAAATAAGTCAGAAAAGACAATAACGTGCTCAGAAAACACAAGAGGAGACAGGGGGCGTTTGGAGAAGGTAGTTCTGCGAGCGGCTTACGAGCAAGCTAGCAACGATCAGTCGTTTTGCCAAGTGGGATCGACTGGCCGGTTTTGCAAATACGGTGTCATCGATCCGGCAGTCTGCAGGGAACTGGGTCCTCGCCTCGTACCGCTACTAGGCTTGATGCTGCTCCCGCTGCTGCAGGGGGATATTTTTGGTATCAACGTATAGCTGTCCCGTTCTCTCTCAGCAAATGGATCCTCTCTTCCCTCACATGTACTTAACCCCCGATCCCCCGCTGCATTAGACAAATTGTATCGATTCCAGATCTGTCAATACCTCACTCAGTCTTCCCATCTCCACCTCGGGTCAGCAGTTTGACAACGTTGTTCGGTTACTTGTCTTCCTGAACAGAAAATGCATGGGCGCCAACTGCCCGATCCCCACCGCATCCAGCAGGGATCGGGCCTTCGTCTCCCCGGGCTCGGCTCCGGTTCCCACGGCCGAAGGACGGAGTCGGGGCGGCAGTGCAAGTTCCTCTTGGCCGGGTGGACGCGGGTGGGGGGCAGCAGGGGCTTAACTCAAGTTTCGCTCTTTCTTCTTGGGGCGTTGGGTTTTTTCCTCTTTTCCTTTAAACCTGCGCTTGTCGGGGGGGAAGGGGAAATTTCGTTTCAGTTCCCCCCTCCACTTTTGCAATCCAGAGCAGCTCTAGGAGAGAGAGAGGCACTGAAACACAGTGGCCAGGCAGACTTCTCCAGCTCCCGTCCTCCCCCGCCGAAGCCTGCTCCACCACCGCATGACTGGGGGGGTGGGGATGGGGGCCGGCACTGGTGCCCACCCCACCGGCGGAGACTCACGCTGGCGGGACACGGAGGAGAAGGAGGAAATGGGAAGAAGAAAAGGGCTCGGAGGGGCAGGCTAAGGAGACCAAGTCCCCACCACCCCACCCCATCCCCCCCCTCGCTTCTCGGAGCTCCCACTGCACGCCTTCCTTTATGAGGGGCTCCCCGCGGTGGCGGAGGGAACGGTGAGCACACAGAGCCCCGCCACAAGCAGTGCCCGGTGGGCTCTCCCGGCCGGCTGGTCAGCACCGAGACCTCGACGCGGATCGCACACGCCGCAGCGGCCGGACAGAGGAGCAGCGGCAGGTCCCCGCGGCCTCCCTGAATTATTCATGGAAGGAGGTATTATATTCGCTCGCACAAATTGGAGCCGCTGTGCAATGCTATCCGAGAGCGCTACGCTCGTCCCCTCCTCCTCTCCAGTTCTCGCTCGCTCTGAGCCCCTGCAGCGCCTAGGATCACATTTCCTTTGTCATCTCGCCTCTTCGCGTGGTGTTTTATTGAGAAAACAAAAATAATATAAAAGCCGAAGAGAGGGAGGGCGGAAGGGAAGGAAAAAATAAAAACAGCCAAAAAAAAGCCTCAAACTCCCGCCTCCCCTGCGATCTGCAGAGCCGGAGCCCACCAGCCCTGGGGGGTGAATTAGCAGGAATTACTCACTGATGCGGCAGCACCGTCCCGGGCGGCGTGGGATCCGGGGAGAGCCATCGCGCTGGGAACCTTCCCCTGCCTGGCGGGGTGCGGAGGGGGAAGGCCGGGGGGGGGGGGGGAGGGGGGGGGCGAGGCCCTCGGGGGAGGGGGAATTGGGGGCGCGGTGTTGTCGGCGGCGCTGACTCCGGCCCCGCAGCGGGCGGTGGCACTGGCGCGGCGCGGCGTGCGAGAGCCTTTTAAGCTCCGACGGCGCGGGCTGACTTCCGCCCGGCTGCGGGGGGCGACCAGGGGGCGGTGGCGGCGGGCAGGAAACATTCGCCCTCCTCCCGCCCGACCTGCCCCCATCCGCCCGCATCCAGCCCGGCCGACCCCCGTCCCCTACTACCCCCCGCGATATTTTAATACCGGTTTTCCTTAGCGGGACCCACCACCACTCTCTCCTTTGGGTTTGACGCACTACCTCCCTGCTCGTCCTTCTTTTTCGGTTTGAGATGCGAGCGGGGAAGGAGCGGGGCCCCGGGGGCCGTTCTTTGAAAGCATCAGGGCATTAATGCAGCTTTAGACATTAAGTCGCTCGATTAATTGTTTTCTTACGACCAGTCTACTGGCGACCGGCTTCTTCCCGCGCCGTCGCGGTCGCTGCCGGGGCAGCCGTGCCCGGGAGGGAGATCCCCAGGTTTGTTGCTCGCCGGGAGCAGGCAGAGGTTTCCTCGCCTTCAAACTGCCGCGATGAAGTTAGCAAAAATTACAGGTGATGCCGTTTGCACTGCTCGCTGCGAGACCAAACCTAAATAAACCCGCAACAATTACGGTTTTTAATGAACCCCTCGCAACCAGCGGCTGCTGGAAGTAAAGTTGCAGCTGCTGCCCAAGTGAGTGGCCACCCTCGTTTTGGTGGGGCTTGTGCTAGCAAGGGAAGACACATGGTATCTTGCCCTCAACAAGAGAACTGGGGATGCTGAAACATTTTAAAAAGTGGAACTGGCTTAGGGATTGGAAAGCAAAAAAAAAAGAAAAAAGAAAACCAAATAGGAAAAGGAATAAAAGTAAGAAAAGATAAAAACAGATTTGTGAATGAAACAATCTGTAAATAAGCAAAATAAACTCGAAACAAAATAATATTAAGTAATGATAATAAATTTAAAGGAAACCCACAGAAAACAAAAACGGGCTATTAAAATACATTGAATTATGTTCCTCCTCTGTTTAGGCCTTAGCTATATAAATAACTAACACTGTTTAGGCCTTACACACACAAATAACACTAATTTAAATCATCTACTTAAAAATACCTTTTTTTCCTTTGCTGACAGGTACTAAAGGCAGCTATGAGCCATGCCTGTGAGGATTGCTCACCCAAAGCCCTTCAGAGAACTGGGAATCTCAGGAATGCTAATGCCCTTATGGGAAGCCAAGTGATGGGAACCGCTGATGGAGTCTATGAGCAACAAATTTATGTTAAGTTGTAAACAAGCATGAATATTTATTATGCATTTATAGTATTTATATTTATTTATTTATTAAGCATTTCTATTTATTATGCCACTCTAGTATATTCAGCTGAGAACTTGCCTTATGTATCACTAAAGGATTGGGGTCTGTGTTCTTTATATGTTCACATTTGAGCGTGAAGGTGAAACCCACCACAGCTTTGGCTAGCAGAGGTTGAAAAATCACTGAGCCTTGCCTGTGTTTGTCCTGTGGTTGCTGCAGATGATTATGATGCTGCAGAGCTTGTCCTTTTCCAAATGAAGCCTGTTATTTGAGAAGAATGGCAACTTCCTGAACAACAAACATGCAGTGAATCCATGTGGGTTTCCCAGATAGCCCTTTCCACTAGCTCCCCACAGTAGGAACCATCATCTTGTGTGTTCAGAAATATTTTAGTTGGGCAGAAATTCCCAGATGCATGTCTCCAGGCATCTGACACCCCTTGCCTTCCTCAGTGACAGCTGTTTGCTTTCCAGCTTCCTGGCTGAGGAGGGGAATTTTGCCCATCTATGCTTCAAATGGCTCTAAAGGGTTCACAAGACTACCTAGATGCTGCGGAAGGTCCATTTTGCTGACAGGATCCACTGTATTTGTGCCAAAGCTCCTGAAGCTTGTTTGCAGCTTCGACCCTCCCTGAGCTTGTAAAAGGGCATAAGCAATTCACTGTCCCTGAACAGTAGGTCCTTATTCTTCAGCTGTCATCCTCGTACTTGAGCACTCCATCTCTCTAAATCAAAGTCCTTTTCTTGTCCCTCCACCACTGTCGAAGGAACAAAATATTTTGAGGCTTCCTCTGTTTATGGATGGCTTTTTGTCATCATTGTAAAAAATGCTGAAATAAAACTAAAGGTAATATGCCAATATTATACTCCATTCTGAAATGTTAGCTGCTGGAACACTTGTGTGCTCAACTACACAGCAGATAGCACTTTTGTGTGCATTTTTCTGCTTACTGCATTGACTGGATTTTTTTTTGATCTGATTAACTTGTTCTGCTATAAAAAAATACCATCAGCACTCCTCAGATAGAGCAAGGCATCAATACATTTCATTTGTTCTCTAAGCCAAAACCACACATGGGTGAATAACAGTGCAAGAGCAATAGGTGAAGTACAAGAGGCTTCTGGTTCTGGTAGACAGCAGGATGAGAACTTATTTTTATGATTTTTCCCGGGGAAGCAGCCGCTTCACATTTACCCTTTTTGTTTCTTAAAAACAAAAGAACAATAGCTATACTGGTTAGCGGGGCTATTGTCCCTCTGCGCCAAATGTATGAAATCTTACTGCTTACATGAGCATCTGAGGTATTTCTCTGCATTCTGCTTGTGCTCCTTTGTATCGCTCTGCTGAGATTTCTTGCATTTATTCCCTTCTTTCCAGTATTTTTCACACCTGTTTCTCTCATGTTTCTTTTGCCCTCCATTCATATGCTCTTGCTGGTCTGTTTTTGAAAGGGTGTAGTTTGTGCTGAAGGTAAACCCATCATTTAAACTGTGTTGAAAACATAACTATGTCAAGATCACATCAGAACTGTTAAAACATTAACCATTAAAACATTCTAACAGTGATAAAATCTTGGCATGATTGGCCAGATCTTCAGGAGATCTGAAGGAGCATCAAGATATTTCTGAAGGTATTTCCACCTAGTGAAAAACCTCTGTTTGGCAACACTTGCCTGTCCTTGACTAACTGCCCAGCCACTGCAGCTAAAGTGTGCATTAAAAAAGGTGGGTTTTTTTTTTCCCCCTTATATTTAAGTGGAAAATAGGACATAGATTGGGGCAGAAGACTGCACCTGAGTCATTCTGTAGTATCTGCTTCCAATGCTGGGATGCGCTTTCCACTGTCTGTACTTGGAAGCTTCTTTTGCTTGAAGGAAGGCATCTGCTTTCTGCCAGAAGCACTACAGGACAAACAGAACTGTGTTCCTGCCAAAAGCAATACAGCTGGAAAAGCCAGGGGTCTGGAGGTTAAAAGCTTCGTTAAATAGAACCAGGTACAGTAATTGTGGGTTTGGGGATATTTTGCTGTGATTTTAGAGGCAAACATTCACATAAAGAGCCACCTGTGTGAAATGGTCCAGCAGCCAGATACTGTTTGCCCTCCTATGTTGAGCAGTAAGGCAGTGTGCAAGCTCAAAGCTCAGCCGGGCTTATGAACAGGAGATGCTGAGTAGCTGGTGCAACTCCCTGAATGTGCACAGGTAATAATAAACATGTAGGACCATACTTCTGTTGTCATTGTTGCTGTTTTCCATCTAAGGACCCAGAAAACATTTCCACAGCCAGTAACCAAAGACTGGACATAAGAAGATAAGACTTGCTTCAAGTTCATTGCTTCAAGTTCTGCATGATATTTTCCAGGGATTATAAAGACCTAAAACTCTCCCTGTCCTGATTCACCCAAGAATCCCTTTCCTTCTTTATTTGTTAACAGAGACAAGAGACGCAATGTTGCATCCAACTTGGATTTTTGCCTCCCACACTGAAGAATTTGGTAGTAAATCAATGAATTAAGGGAGCACTTCCAACAGGTCTATCCACAGGGAAAAGCTGCAGCAAGACCTTGATGCTGGTGAAGTCTTTGGGGATTTCACATTTGTCAGTGCCAGATAAATGAAAGAGGAACATTCTGCTGTTGATGTTTAGCTTGCTGTGAGCAACTTTTTCATTGCACTGAGAGGAATATCCATCTTGTATTTTGGCTTTCATCATGACTGTACTTCATGGACAACTGTGCCACTTAAATCCAGCCACTTTAGCCCTGATTTGTGCTTTTGTTTCTTTTTTTTCCTTTCCTCATTTTTTCCTCTTGTGAGCACAAACTTCTAAATTTGCATCAAATTCCACATTTGCCATGCCTGCTATTGCATACTGACTCTTGCTTAACTGTGTATCTGTCATTGAATCCGTTAGTAAGTACAGTAGTAAGCTCAACTTTCTGCATGTGTTACTGAGTTTCCTGTATAATATGCTGGGTCTTGAGCAGGGTGGAGGGCTGGGGAGCAAAGAAGAAGTGTTGTCCCTATGGTATAAATCATTGGGAACTGGCTTGCTCAGCATATTAATTCAAGCTCTTGACACCCCTTCATCCACCAAGCCATCTCCCCTATAGCAAGGTCACCTTGATTTTAAAGATGTCCTTGTTAGGATGGGATGGGATCCAAAGGGGAACAGAGATAGCCTCCCCTGTACACCTGTGCAAGTGAAATCTATAGATCTTGTTGGTGTGCATCTCTACGTCTCTACACCCTTCAAGCTTTGAGAAGCAGAGATCTTGCACTCAAACAGCTGAGATAACTTTTAACCGCAGAGACATAGCCTGATTTAGGGATTAACCCTCTACTCTCCATTCCCAGATGATTCCCTACTGTTCTGCCTTACAGCACTGAACTTTGTGGGTAGCTGATGCAAAGATGTCATTTTGGATGTGCTAAAGAAAGTTTTTTTCACTTTTATTGATAGAGTGTCACAGAGCACATTTATGGTTAAGCCTCATTCTAGCTCTCCTAATACTTGGTATACACCTGAGGGGAAACTAAAGTACCTTTCTCCCACCTACATTCTGATTCATTCCTTCTTCCTTTCAGAAATTCTGACTGAAAATCATGCAATTCTAACAATGTAGTGGTATTTAGCATCACAAAGACTTTCAGCACCTTTACTTCCTAAGGACTGCATCTCTAAAACCATTTTCCTTTTCCAGACTTCTCAAATCTATCTCTATTCACCATCTGTTCAATCAGATTTCTTGTTAGACTAAGTACCTGTGTTTGCTTTAATCCTTGATGGTGACAGCCCCCAGGATGGGCTCAGGGCCAGAAGATGCCAGTGCCTGTTCTTCTCACCCTGATGCTGTTCTAATGCTGTTACAGCTTTCAAATGTGATGCCTACCATTAAGAATGGTCTAAATCCAGGCTTTAGCCCACATTTCATTGACTGGATGTTGGACTTATGCAAGAAGTGATGCTGGAGTAGTATTAAAGGCTCTCAAACTCACCTTCAACAAAATGTCGCATCAGGTCTCTTTTCCCTTCAGGAAAGGCAGAATAGACATGTCTTGTAGACATGCTCTGCAGGTCAAGAAGTGCAAACTCTGAGCAGCTGGAGGTAGAAAGCAGATGCCAACATTATGGGCTAATAATTACAAATGTTTTGCTATTAGCCTTCCATTTCCTGACACTGCTGCTGCTGCCCCGATACCTCACTTCACATTCATCCTCTCCGCACAGTCAATTCGGCTGTAACTGAGGAGTCCACCCTACCTTCCTTCTTTGTCCACTTCCTCAAGATCCTTTTACTCAGCTGGGGGAGTTCTGTTAAGTGCAGGAGGTGGAATAGGCTAGCGCTTGAGGTAGAATGGCTTGTCAGCTGCTAACACTTCTCCACAGCTGTGTAAACTGGGCACAGGCAGCTGTTCCCCTCCAAATCTGTCTGCAGGAGCGGGGAAGCCTGGCACCCACAGCTATTCATTACCAGCCCCCTGCAACGGGATGTGTGAGTGTCCCCTAACAGCGCCACAATGGCTGACCTTGTAGCCTGTTCAGACGGACACTGGAAATCTTCCATCTCTTCAGATGGTTACAAAGAGACATTATCTATGTCTTAAGGCTATCTGTGTCCAAGTGCTACCCATCCTCATCTCGTCATTCCTGGGGACCTGGACAGACCACTTTTCCCTCAGGGCCAGGCAGTGTAATTCTGTGAGCATCAGCAAATGGTGACCCTCAGAAAGCAGCATGTGCCCTCAGATGATTTTGTGTTGTGTGCAGCATTTATCCTGACCCGCATTCATGTGTTGCTCTGTCCCACAGCTGCTCTAATCAAGGCAGATCAGGTCCAGAGGTATAAATTGAATGCCGAGAGAGAAAAGTGGAGATATTTCTGCATTGTCCTTAGCAAGAAACAGGGCTTGAGCTACTCTGGATCTGAAATGTTTAGGGGTTTATGTGTGGAAACCAACACTGGTCAGAAATGCAAAGGTAATACACTCCTTTACAAGAGCAAATGAACAAGCAAGCAGCTGTACAGGGTGATAATCACAGTTTCTGCTTCATACGAATATTTATTGTGGCTCTAATTGTGTTCCCTGTAGGGAAAGCTGTAAGATGGACTCAGAGGAAGCTTTTGCTGCCTTGCATCGTGCAGTTCTTCCAGTCTCAGGTTACAGGATGACTCTGTTGTGCATTCATGGGACATGCAAGAGGTTGGACTCTTGGATCCCATCCCCTCTGCAAAGTCTCTGGGGACATGAACTAACCCATGAAAAGGGCTCTCCCCTTCTCGATGCTCCTCCAGGGAACCGAGAAGGGAGAAGCTCTTGCCTGGGCAGCTCTCCCTGGCAGTGGGAGCAGGCGGCTGTCTCCTGTGTGGGACACTGATGGCATCCCTACAGTCCTTCATAAAACTGGGCTTACAAAAGCACTTTCATCACAACCCAGAGCCCTTCTCACGTGCCATTGGAAAAAGGTGTCTGAGACCCTTTGGGTAAGAGCCTCTTCACAGAGAATGAGCTCCAATGAGCCACATGTTTCTTGGAGGCTATTAAATGTCCCTTTGCAGCATGCCTTCTCTCTGTGTGCGAAAGGTCCCTGTGCCTGCTGGTGTAAATCCTTCCCAGGATACCTCCACCACAGGAGCTATAAATAGGCTGGGGGATAAGAAAAAGGGAAGCTTTCTTAAAATGGAGGATACCACAGGTCCTGTTTGCAGGAGTGGAGCTTTAAAGGGAAGGCAAGGATTCAGGAAACTTTTAAAGCTGTTGATCTGAATGATGCTATAGTTTTCAGAGAGAGGAATGCTGTCACTCTGAAGATCTTTTGTCTTTTTTGCTTTACTAAAGCAGGGTGTTGTCTCTCAAATAAACCCCACGTACATTTATGATGACGGATGCCTGCTGGGAAGAGAAGTCTGTATATCTTCTGTTTGCTAGCTGCAGAGCGGTGGAGTTGTGTTGAGCCTGATAGCCCCTTTTGTGAACCACTGCCTGGCAGTACAGGTGCTCATTTGTTTAAATAAAAGGAGCCAAGGGGCTTGTGTGGCGTCTGCAGTGCAGACACTACCCTTCCTCCCCGTGTTTCACAGCTACCGGCCTTTGGATGCTACTGCAAGCCAGAGAAGTAAAAATACGGAAGGAGGGAGTGAGACTCAGGAAGCCAAATCAAATGGTGGTAGCAGCATCTCAGGAAGCTTGCCTGAGGTGGTGGGGTACAGGGCAGGTGAAGAAGATCAGAAGCGTAGGAAATCAGGGAAACAGATGTGGCCATGCCAGGCTTTGGGGAAGGAGCTCCCTAGATGCAGGGCTGGCATTCCCATCTGGTAGTGAAGGAAATTATGTAAAGTGGAGGGGCCAGGGGCCCCTTTCTTCTTCCTTTTTTTTTTTTTTTTCCCTTTTTCTTCCAATTCTTTTCTCCCCTCACTTCCCATGATGCAATTAAACAGCCATTGCTGACATCATCATGTATGCACTCTGAATGCAGCCATTGTGTCTCGGCCGTGGTGCTGTACTATATATAGATTAGTTGCCAATCTCTGCTATGTATGAGCAGGGAAGACACCAAAGGAATTAAGTGAGCAGTTGCACTGTAGGACTCCTGGCTTTTGTCCCATAACCTCAAGACACTATGGACCACTAGAAATAATCAAAGGTAAGTGATTTGGAGGCCCAGCCAGGAAACTTTTGAAGGAT